TGGTATTAACTGATCAACACATAAGTGTACATATAAGAACAACATTCACTGGATGTCAGGCACGAGGGAGGGGGGAGGAGGGGACGGGTATATACATACACAAAGAGTGCAATGCGCACCATCCGAGGGATGGACACGCTTGAAACTCGGACTTGGGGACTATGGCGGGGCAAGAGCAACATATGTAACCTAAACATCTGTACCCCCATAATATGCTGAAATAAAAAAAATAAAAAGAAGAAGAATTTGTGGTCATGGAATATGTATGCAACTGGGTATGACTTGTCCCCTTCCTCTCACTTCCCTTCTGCCAGCTGGACTATGTCAAAGCAACCTTTATTAAAGCTTCCCGTTCACACGTGAAGGCCCATCTCTGAATAACTGTGTGATTCAGCACCCACCTGCTGATGCACACTGTACCCTGATGTGGGTCAGAAACAACTAGATGCCCGGTAGGTCACAACGCGGAGTTTCACACAGAAATTCAGAGGCAATGGTCCCCTTGCTTTCTGAAGGCTGCTATGACTCCACATGACCAGCGGATGGCTCCTACCTGCACAGGTGCTGTGGGCGAGGCCTCTCTTCACTGTCCACAGCTCCTGTCCATGCTCCAGCAGGTGGATCAGCTCGGGTTTGGGAACTCGATGCCCTGTTGATGGCAAAAGAAATAGGACAGGGGTGATCTGATGAGAAGAATGAAATCTCTCCATGTTGCCTGAGACTTCATGACAGGGGGCATAACATAAATGAAGCTGCTCCCAGAGTAAGCAAAATCCTGATCTAAGAACTGAAAACAAAGAGTATTGCTATAGAGTGAATTGTGTTCCCCCCAAAAGTCATACATTGAAGGCCTACCCTCCAATGTACTGTATCTGGAGAATGGGTCTTTAGGAGGTAATTAAGATTAAAGGAGGTCATAACAGTGGAGCCCTAATCTGATAGGACCATGGCCTATCAGAAGAGAGATCTCTGCTCTGTCTTGTCTCTCCACCACGTGAGGTCACAGCATGAAGGATGCCATCTGCAAGCCCGGAAGAGAGTCCCCACCAGAAAATGAATTAGCTGGTACCTTGATCTTGGACTTCCCAGCCTCCAGAACTGTAAGACAATAAATTCCTGTTGTTTAAGCCACCAGTCTATCGTATTTTGTTATGGCAGCCAAGTAGATGAAGACAAGCACAAATCCCACTCTTGGACTGCAACTGCTGTAGAGCGTAGTGCCATCAATACCCACTGCCCTTGACCTCCATCTATGGAGGCCAACACTGTTCAGGTGCACACTGCTCTCACAGCCATGGGACATCACAAAGGTGAGCTCTTGCCTCCAGAAGGCATTTTCTAATTAATCTAAATCATCGGTTCTCAAATATCCTGTGCTTCAGAACCACCTGAGCATTCCTGATTCCAACTCAAACCAAATGAAACAAAGGTGAGGGTGAGGGTGAGGCCTGAGCATCGGTATTTTTGAAATGCCCCCACTCCCCGCAGAAGACTCTGGTGCACAGAGAGGGCTGAAAACCATTGGTTGAAATAAACGGTTGACTGGCATCCCTAATCATGAGCAGTCTGAGGTAGAGAGGTGACCTAGGCTAGGTTCTCCTTGTGAAGAGAAAGCCTTTATTCTGGGCGGGAGCAGAGGGGTGAACACGGGGTCTTCTGCCCCAGTCATGGCTGCACCATCCTGTATCCCTGTGAGGAGCGGTCTGAGACAAGACAAAAGCCTGAGCAGGGAGGAGGGGCAGAGAACATGACATCCTTGATAGCACTGGGCTGCTGCAACCAACGAGCCTGAGCAGCCGCACCTCAGTTTCTCTTTAGCTGAGGTAGTGAATTTCCTTCCAGGTGAAGCAAGTTTGATCTGGTTTTCTACGCAGCCAAATGCATTTCACTAGATGTGGGGGAACAAAACAGGAGGGTTTTGAATAGAAGACCAATGACTGAGGCAAAAGGACCCACAGAAGTAGCGACTGGCAGATTCTGATCCACAGCCCAGGATTCCTTCAGACACGTCTTAGTCATGTTGACCAATGTGTGCTACATCCCTGCCTCTGAGCTCCGGGACAGGGCTATGGAAAAGGTGAATCAGACACTCCTTTGGCTCCACCGGGAGTTGAGCTCCCTGTCACCTTCACACGTTGGTTCTTCCACCTGGAACACTGCTGCCCTCCTCCACCTCCATCCATCCAGCTAATTCCTACTCAGCTCTCAAGTCTCAGCTACACTGTCACTTCCTGAGATGCCTTCTTTAGATTATAACTTCCTGGTTATTTATTCCTAAATTCCCCTCTTTTCCTTCTACAATTCATTTCAATTGTCATCTACAGACTGATGTCCACCTTTCCAACTAAACTTCAGAGTGATAGCACACACAGTGTACCATCATTTCTAATAATTTTTCTTTAACCTGACTTATTTTTCCTAAATATTTTATTCCAAAAGGGAACCTTGTTTTGCTCTGGCAAATGAGAAAGTCAATTTCACTTCCTACAAATAGAAGGCTACCATCCAAATGCAACAACAAAATCAAAACAATGCTATCAAGTCCCACCAAGCTCAAGTAGACTGTTCAGAGATATGAGTTAGAGGCTCTTCCCTCTGCTGAAAAGAGACATTAACCACACTGGGGGGTGGGCAGGTGAAAGACTCAGCACTGATCTGAGTCTTTTTCATGACAAAAATTAGCACATTGGATAGAGAAGGTAAAAGGAATGGTTTTCTCAGAGTGTTGACCCATGCCATTTGAAGACATTCCTGTACACCCTCTAAAAACATCTCCTGGACCAATGGAGGATTGGGGCCCAGCAACAGGAAACAAGTAATGACCATGCAGGCATCGGGGATCTTTTTACAGAGATTGTATTGCTTGGGAAGATATCTGGGGGGCACTGATGACAAACATCTCCTAGGGGGCTGCCTCACTCCCTTCTCTCAGAATAGCCCATCACCCACAGCCCCTACTAACAGAGCTGTGAGGACGGCCTGTCCCACCAGGCTGGGCCAAGCAGCTTCTTTCTTGTGGAATCTGGAATAAAGACTTCAGACTGAGGCCAGAGTATGCTGAGCACTGAAGTGAGGGCTTGTGTTTAGAAGAACTATGTTTCTACCACAACAATCCCTGATGTAGACACAGGGAGACCACGCAGAAAGAGATGGGACCAGAAAACTACAGGAGCTGTGAGGAGGAAGACAGGTGGCTCCTGTAACCTTTCTGCCCAGACAAGAATCAAGAGGGAGTCTAGAGTGCCCCCAGGGGTGAGAGGTGAGCCGTTACCTAAAGAAACCAGGAGCCCACAGGTCTCCAGCATCACCTCTCGGTACAGGGTCCTTTGGGCCAGGTCCAGCTGTCTCCACTCCTCTCGGGTGAAGGTCACAGCCACATCTTTGAAGGTCACCAACACCTGGAAAGTCAAACAGAAGTAGTGGTATTGACTTTGTGTTTTTGGATAGGATCAGAGCCTGTCACTCAGTTGCTGGTCGAGGTGCAGAGAGACCCAGGCATGAATCACCAAGGCCTCCCAAGGACCAAGCTCTGTGCTAGGCTCAAGGTGGAGGTCGATACTGCCTTTTGATATAATTCAATTGTTGCTGAGAGAAAAGCCTCTCATGGGGAAGCCACTGGAGATGACACAGACAAAAGCAATCCCGTGATAACTATGGGAAGTAGACAGTATGTGCTCTGGGATGTCAGAGGAATGGAGGAAAATGACTATAAAAACAATTCTAATCATGATTAACAGCAGCAGCAGCTGAACCCCACTGGTCCTCACTGTGTTCCTGCCTGGGCTGAAGTCTTCATATGCTGTGGTAAAGAAAATAAAGGTCCCAGCTCTGAGCCAGACCCTGGGGGTTTGAATGAGGTCTCTTGAATGTGACACTTGCCAGCTATGTAACCGTGATGAGGATATCTCATTATTTCCCTAAGCCTCTACTTCCAAATCAAACAATAATTATTCCCATTTCACCAGGCAGTTCTGAGAACTGAACATGTTCACAAGGCAATCACTGTAGTGCCTAGCACATGCAAATGCGTGATATTTTTGCAACTTTTATTAATCTTCCCAAAGGCCCAGAGGTCAACACCATCGTCACTTCCATGTCATGTCACAGTCAGCAACCTGGGGCTCAGGCAGCTTTAGAACTCACCTAGTCTCACACTCAAGAAGTAGAGGCAGGATTTGAACATTGAGTAAAAGATCTCACAAAGCTGCCAGAGCGTAGGCAGGTGGGGTCAAGGAGTACTTCAGCTAGAACTAGAATAGCCAGGAAAAGACTATGCTATGAGGTGACACAGATGCACAGGAAGGGTGTGGAGGGCAGCCCTGCAGAGATCTGAAGTCAGTGTCCTAGAAAAGGGGAAATACAAAAGCAAAGGCTGAAACATGGGAAAGAGCTTGGCAAGTTTAGGACTCCTTGGTTGGATGCAGTGGGCAAGGGGAGACTAGAAGAGGAAGCAAAGGTGGTCAAAAGGGCAGACCAAGCAGAGCCTTGCAGGCCATCCTGGGGGTGGGGAATGGATTTATTCTCAATGTGATGGGAGCCCCTGAAGGGGAGACCTGTACATTCATCAACCATTTATCAAATACAATAAAAATACTCAGCCAGGCTGTTCAAGGTCTTGGGAGAAAGCGGCAACAGGCACTCACATTCCAGTGCTGGAAAGAGACTCTAAACAAGCAACTACAAAAACGAGTAAGACAATGTCAGAAGGCCCTAAAGATTCAGAAGACAAGAAAATAGAGCAAGGAGAGCAAAGGGATTACAGTCAACCTTAGATGGGGTGACAGAGCAGGCCTCTTTAAGGCAGGGACACTGGAAGGAGTCTGAGGGACACATGAGGATGAGAAATTAACAAATAACACAAGTCCTGACAGTGACCAGGGCTATATTAAGAGTAATCAGAGTGACTGCTAGAGACTAACCCTGGGCTTCATGTGTTTACATCCAAAGGGACACTCCATTCCTGCACACTCTCACCACTGAATATTTTAATATTCATTCACCTTTCATCTGTAACTGTCTTGGATAGGAAAATAGATTCACTACTGTCAGTTGTAACCCAGCTCCACTTGTCCTAAACTGAAAAATAATTTCCTTGGCCCGCGCTGCCACCTTTTCTGCCCTAGCACAGCAGCGATTGCAAAGACATTTCTCCCACCTCTCCCCACCGCAGCCCTTAACTTTACAGAGACAGTGAGCCAGGGAAGCCAAAGTGTCAGACACCTGCTGGAGTGAACCTCTAAAACCAGCACAAACCCAGGAAGCATCTCCATGGAAGCATCCTGAACAATGCTCCCTGGACCGTGTTGGACACTGAGAGGGCGAACATCACCCATATACCCTTTGTACTTCCCTTAACCCAGAGAAAAAAAATGTCAACATCCCTACTTTCTGCACGAGAAAATGAAGGCCAAGGGCAGCAAGCGGACTTGCTCAAGGCCACAGCCCGGGAAAGGAGCACTGCGGGAACCTGCAATGAGGTCTGCGGCCTGCGGGTCGTTTCACTCACACGGTGGTGGTGGTGTCCCGAAAGCCCCATTTCACCCTCCATTCCGCACCCCATTGGTTGCCAAAAATGGGAGCCCTCCCCACAAACCCCGGCCTGGATTGCGGACCATGGGCCGAGTGACCCTATCCTAGGCTCCGAAAACCAACAGCGGGGACGTGGCAGTGCGAAGGGCCACCGGGGCCACCGTCCGCTCACCCGCGCCGCGTCCATCGCCGCCGCCATCGGCCGTGAGGAGAACCGGGCCGCCTGAGGCGGTCTCCGCGGGCTCAGAAGCCTTTTTGGGTCCTACAAAGGAGCGGAGGTGACCCCATCATCTCCACTCGCCTTCCCCGCTCGGACCGCGCGCGGACACACACTCCACGCCACAAACAAATGACCACCCAGAAACGCCGGAAGTCCCGCCCCTGGCAACGCGGACGCCAGCCGCGCCCCCTCTTGTGGCGTCATTGGTGCAGGCCGCACGGCCGTCCCACTGCCTTCTGGGTAGTGTAGTTTTCGCCTGCATCCGGCCAGGGCGGAGATGCTCTTCTCCTTCAACCTCAAGCCCGGGGGCTCCCAGAGGGGCTCTGGTAAATGGCGTCCCGAGGCTCCAGAGAAGGAGGCGGGGCCTCGGGTACGCTTAAAGGGGACGCACCCAGATTTCGTGGCTGTGTTTTCTGCAATTTATTTCACGTGCTCTTAAGGGAGCTAGTGGACACATTATTGTGAATTTTTAAAACTTCATATTATCCTGGTGCCTCAACATCCCCACAAACTGGCTGTGAGCACCCCAACCAGGCCACCAGATGCACCAGTTGGCATCAGCCACAAGTTCCCCTTCTTGACTGTGACCTAGTGACATTCAAACACACCAGTAAAATCTCTTTACTGCCTTTTTACTTGCGTACTCCACCCTGGCACCAAATAAAGGTATTTTCCCGCGGGTCCACACTCTCTTTCAGCTCCCGACTGGCCCAGTTGAGCCTCCTCTGTGATGTGCCATGCCTGCCTCTATAGGACCTGTGAGTGCAGTAAATCCTTTAATTTCATAGGCTTCTCCTGTTAGGCTGTGTGTGTTTTGGGAGAGATGTCCTGATCCTTTGCTCCTTGCTTGGAAGAATAGCAAGCAGGGCCGGGGCCACAGAGTGATGATAGACACAAAGCAGTTCCACACAAGCAGCCTTTATTAAAAAGCATAGGCGGCCGGGCGCGGTGGCTCACGCCTGTAACCCTAGCACTCTGGGAGGCCGAGGCGGGCGGATTGTTTGAGCTTAGGAGTTCGAAACCAGCCTGAGCAAGAGTGAGACCCCATCACTACTGAAAAATAGAAAGAAATGATCTGGACAACTAAAAATATATATATATATAAAAAGAAATTAGCCGGTCATGGTGGCGCATGCCTGTAGTCCCAGCTACTTGGGAGGCTGAGGCAGGAGGATCGCTTGAGCCCAGGAGTTTGAGGTTGCTGTGAGCTAGGCTGACGCCACGGCACTCTAGCCCGAGGAACACAGTGAGACTCTGTCTCAAAAAAAAAAAGCATAGGGTACAAAGCGAAAGTACATTATGGAGAAGGAGGAATGGGTCTGCCTCTGCCAGTGGAGAAGACCCTAAACATAATGAAGTTTACCTTCTTATGTCGATTCCCTAATTTTATACTAAGCTGGGGGTGAAATATTTGTGATTTTTCTGAAGAAAGGCGTGGCAAGTTCTCGGAATTGGGGTTCCTCCTCTTTTCTGACTTTATAGGGTAAGTTCCCAGGGTTGCCATGGCATTTGTAAACTGTCATGGCGTGGGTGGGTGTGAGTTTGACTATGTTAAGGAGGGAAAGTTCACTTTTGGTCACAAACTCTTAGCTTCTGTGCATGCTCCGGGTTGGGAAAAGTTCCTAACCTCAAGTTCCCGCTGTTGTGGTTTCTTTCCTCTGTTGTTCCTGGTCCTGACCCTCTGCCCTTGACCACATCCTCCTATTGCCTGCCCTACCACCTGCATGCCCTTAGCCCTACCTGACATTACCAAGCATAATTTCAAGGCCACATTGGAGTGGTCCTTAGAGACGCAATAAGGACGTCCACACATGCCCCCATTTAAGATTTGTCATCTCCAGACAATTAATTGTTATACTTTAATGCTTTCCTGAAAGCATTTCCAAGAAACCATAATCCTAAAGTGCTTGTCTTCAAGGAGATTAATGGAAAAGACTCTGACAAGTACAGGTTTGTGATAACTTTAAGATCATACCATCGGATTGGGTAAGAATTTTCAGAACTCTAATGAAAAAACTGAAAGATTCATGAAACTGCTGTCTCAAGATCAAACAGAACAAGAATTAATTATATGGGACTGATGAACTATTGAGGGTAATGTTTTTATGACTTTTTATTGGAATTTTTTTTTTTTGAGGCAAGATCTCTCTCTGTCGCCCAGGCTGGAATACAGTGGCCTGATCATAGCTCACTGCACCCTTAAGCTCCTGGCCTCAAGTGATCTTCCTGCCTCAGCCTCATGAGTAGCCAGGACTACAGGTGTGTGCCACCATATCTGGCTAATTTTTCTTTTTAAATTTCTTGTACAGATGGGGTCTCACTATAGCACAGGCTGGTCTCTAACTCCTGGGCTCAATCAATCCTCCCTCCTCAACCTCTTGAAGTGCTAGTATTACAGACATGAGCCACCACACCTGGTCTTGTTTTCCAGATTTAAGGAAACTTTTTATTTTCTCTTGAGCTGTCTATAACTTACAGGAATTTGATAAAGTATACCTTTGTAAACAAATATAAAAAAATTAGTTTTTCTCCCTACCTGATCCCTCAGAATTCAGAAGCTATTTGTGAATATTCTCATTTTATGGCAATATAGTTATTTGCAGAAATCTAGTAAGAATATTTTTTCTTTATGACAGGATACAATTGAACATACTGGTTATATTAATATTACCAAGGCTTTGACTGGAATGTCATGTTTGAGAATATCCATAGAATACCTGGCTTCAAGGGTTTCCCCCACCTTATGAAATAAGGCACAGGGACCTTAAAAGTATTTGGGGAACTTTGAGAGGAGAGTAATTTATACAAATCTATAGGTAGTTCTATTAAAATCTGATGGCAAGTATTTAGCTTGTACTCCTAGCCTTGAGAGGCTTTTAAAAGTCTAACCTGAGATTCCTTATCAAAAGTTCCAGCAAAGCACACTTACAGAGAATCTATGCTACTGTTTGTTCCCACCAAAATTTATGTTGAAATTTTGTCCTTAGTGCGGTGTAGTCGGGAGGTGGGGCCTACTGGGATGTGTTTGGATCATGGGGGCAATGCCTCATGAATAACTTGGTGCCATTCTCATGGTAGTGAATCAGTGAGTTCTCACTCTGGCTGGATTAGTTCTCACAGGAATGGATTATTTCCCTTGAGAGTACATCGTTATAAACTCAGGATGCCCTTCATCCTCTCCCTCTTCTCATATATCTGGTTTCCCTTTGATCTTCTCCACCATGATGCAATGTGGAAGCCCTTACCAAAAGCCATAGCCATGCCTTTGAATGTCCCAGCCTGCAGAACTATGAGCTAAATATTAATAAACCTCTCTTCCTTTTAAATTACCCAGTCTCACGTATTCTGTTATAAGCAACAGATAATGGACTGAGACAGCCTATATGGTCAATCACTATTCTTTCTACACTTATGTAAATAATCAGGCCACATTTAATGAGACTAGACCTATTTTGCAAACCAATTGATCTTACTGTGATTATCTTTGGTAAAAATGGGGGTAAGTGTAGAGAGAAAAATTATGTTTCAAAAGAAAACTATAGTACACCTGCTATGGTTTGAATGTCCCCTCCAAAACTCATGTTGAAACTTAATTGCATTGTGATGATATTAGGAGGTGTGACTTTTAAGAGGTAATTAGGTCATGAGGGATCTGCCCTCATGAATGGATTAATGCCATTATCATGGGAGCTGGTTAGTTATTATGGGTTTAGGCTCCTGTTAAAAGGACAAGTTTGGCCCCCATTCTCTGTCTCAAATGCTTTCTCTTCCACCATATTATGACATAGAAAGAACACCCTCACCAGATATTACACCTTGATCTTGGGCTTCCTAGGCTCCAGAACCGTGAGCCAAACAAATCTCGTTTCTTTATAAATTGCTCAGTCTGTTGTATTTTGTTATAGAAGCAGAAAGTGAACTAATATGACACCTTGTTACTAGATTCTAGCCCTATTCAATGTTTTTAAGGTTTTACTTCCTAACTAGACTGGATCCTAAATTCTTCTAAGTTCTTCCTATATCTGGCTACAATTCTACAAACCAATATTGCCAATTTTTTTCCCACTTTTCTGACTTGGAATCGCTGAAGTTAAAACTACTCTGTTCCTGAAGTTATACAAGGTGGAGAATTGGATGTTACTTTCAAGAGACACCCTAAGTGCCTGATGTGTGAGCCACTCATAGGTCACCAAAACACCCAATGTCATGACCAGAAACTTTCAAACTGCAAACCAGGAAAATATTCTTTGAGATCAAATCTAGAAATCTTGACTGACTGTCCTTTAGTTTGTTCCAGCTATTAACCTTTGTTTTTCTTTTGTTTTATTTTATCATTTATTTTATTATTTTATTATATTTGGTTTGGCTCCTAGGAACCCTACTAAAGAGTGCACTCCAGACTCTGCATTATCCTCCCAGTAGTCTCCCTGGTGCAGTGTACCCTCTCAAAGGGCCTTAAATGCCTGCATGCAGCCATCCAACAAACACCAAATAATGTATCTCCAGCTGGAACAACAAAAACTCAAAGAAATGCATGGTAATGAGGAAACTATGAATGATGTGTTGAAACCAAAACCAAAGAATGACGGTGACTAAGAACAGCACTGATGCCCTGAGTTTTGGTCAGCCTAGGTCTTACCTCATAGGTAAAATCCTGACTGAAAGAGAGGAATTGCTAAATAAAATATATAGGAGGCCACCAATTTGAACTGAGCTCCTGCGCTAGCATCCAACAGACCAAGCCAAAAGTGGAGTCACTCTTGCTAAAGTTCCATGTCACCAAACTCTGTTTCTTGTCTAATGGTTCTTGATGCAGTAACAAGAAGACCAGGCAAAAGGCTGTGAGACCAGAACACAGCAAAGTCTGTGGGCAGAAGGAGGAAGGCCCCCAAGGCCTTGCTCTCCAGATGCGTGCGATGCGAGCAAGAGGTGCTCGGAAGAAGCCACAGTTGGCCCACGTGGGAGAGGGACAGGTCCTCACTCGCAAGCCTCACAGATTCTCAGTGCCACGTTCTGTTACAAGGTCCTCTGGGCCAGCTCCCAATGTCCCCATTTCTGCCAGGTGAAGGTCGTGGTTCTATCCTTTAAGGCCACCAATGCCTGAAAAACCAGAGGAAGCAAGTCCACCCAGGGCTGTCGGATGAGATTAGAACCTATTGTGTTGTCACCAGGAAAGACAGAGAGACCCAGCCCAAATCACTGAGGCTTCCTGAGGGTTGAGTTCTGTGCAGGGCTTGGGGAAGGCGGACGTGACCTCTGGACATAATGTAATTGTGACTGAGAGAAAAAGGCTCCCATTGGGGAAACCATTTGTGAGTCCTGGTTTCTGCTACTGGGGGTCTGATCACCTAGCTCCACATCCTCACGCACTCGCATGGAATCATCCTGCACGCAAGCCTCCAGTTTGTGCCAAAGTGAGCATCCAACTATTGTGACCTTCATCCGTGCATTACCTACCTACAGGACAATGGGGAAGTTGTCCTCTTCCAGCCAGGCTGTGCCTATGTTGTCGCAAGCAATGTGACTGTGCAACTGTGTGTACATGTTGTGGAGACAGATGAAGGCTATCCAAACGAGAACGTGCAAAGGCTGGGTATTCGGAGCTTGCTATAGCAATAGCAATACAGCACATGTGCATGTGACCCACACACCAGGCCCTGGGGTGTCCCTATCACATCTGCCTCACAAATCTCTGTGCAGTATTGGCGTTCATGTGGCCACAGCTGCCATGTGTCAGAACCTCTGTCTTGTCTAACAGGTCCCTACTGTGCTTTGCATATAGCAATTGTGTGTCTCGTGTCTGTCACACCTGCTTCATGTTGTGGATGTGTATAGGTATATGTGTGAGTCCAGGCTGTTTGGGGTGTGTCAGTCCCACACACAGTCACACAGGGCTCCTGGGATATGTGTTTGTCCCTAGGCTGTATGGTACATTGAAACTATCACACTCAGAAACACACACTTCCACTCTATTTGGGACACCTGGAACAGGAAATGGCACCTGAAATGCTTTGTTTCCAGGCTGGGATGTGGTGTGCTAGCAAAACATACTGTCACATGGCATGGTTTCCTGGTGTGTCACTTTCACACACAGACCCAGCAGGACCAGACATGTCACCCATCTCCTTAATATCCAGTACACAGGAAATATGGAGGTCAACATGTTAAACAGATTCACAGAGATGCAAAAAACCAAATTCAGAATGGAGCAAATTCTGATGGAAAAGTAACTGAGAAACTTCAACAAATAGTGAGAATAAAAAAAACCAAAGTGGTACTTATAGGTAAGTAGATTTACCAGACAAAACTTCTAAAAGTCACATAGTTCATTTTAGATTGGATGCCTTAAAGAATGTTTTTGAGACAATTGAGCACTGACTACATAAATTATGATACCTCAAATGTTGTTTAATAAAGTTATTAGGAAATGAAAGAGCCCTTATGTTCTGTAAATGCATTCTGAAGCCATTAGGCATTGAATGGCAAGATATTAGGAGTATGAGTAAAACTATCCAGTAATGTGCATGGAGACAGATGAAACAAGAAACCATGACATGATCAATAATGATGGAAGATTGTGAAGGGTTCCCAGGGCTGCATAACACAGTCCTTTCCATTTGTGCACGTATTTGAGAATATCCACTAAAATGGGTAGAATATCCTTGAATCAATTTTATATTACCAGGGATGGATTTAAAAGGGTAGGGGGAAACTTTTGGTTTAAGAAGTATGTATTAAGGCACAAACTGTGCACATTAAATATGCACAATTTATTGTGAAACAATTATACATCAACAAAGCTATTTTTTTTTTTTTTGAGACAGAGTCTGGCTCTGCTGCCTGGGCTAAAGTACCGTGGTGTCAGCCTAGCTCACAGCAACCTCAAACTCCTGGGCTCAAGCAATCCTCCTGCCTCAG